ATACTACACACTATATACTATATATATATATATATATATATATATATGTGTGTGTACGTTATTATATTGTATATATATATATATATATATATATATATTTATATCAAATTTATATATATTTATATATTTATATATACATGTATATTCCAATATATATATATAAATATATATGTATATATATATTTATATATATATTTATATATATATATAGAGAGTGAGAGAGAGAGAGAAGAAATAAAGAGCGAGTAGCTAGACCCTCCACATTGAACTTACTGTCTTTTAATTTTTCACACAATTTCTATACCGCGCATTAGCGTGGGCTCCGCAGTTAAGCAGTGCAATGAATGTGGACATGACTTCAAAGCGGCACGCTTAAGCACTCTTGGCCGAAACAGATCTGCTATTCGCCCAATACTACCGGGTAATAATAATATAGCTCAAAATATCTCACCCAACACTTGTGATGACGTAGAATATCATAAAAAGTGCTCCACGTTGCAATGATATCATATCAGTTCGCTTGCTTCTCGAAAAGGGTTCAAGTCGCTGGAGCCATCCAATTCGATATACGATGGTATTTCCCTTAAGCGTCGTCTGAGTTGTTGCCAATTTCTATTGATGTTATAGATTTGCGAAGCGTAAGTATCCAAATTCCTGCGAGCCTTTATCGATTTTGAACCTCTCATTAAGATGTTACGGTTCATCCTGTATTTTTGTGCCGAAGGGATAGTCTGACAGACAGAAAACTAATATTCACCGTCTGGATAAGTTATAAGTGTGTATGACCACATTGGTGGATAGCTTTCATTGGTAGATAGATTCTTCGACGCACCACTACAAATTGTATGATCACGCCTATTCTATTTTTGTGGTTGGTATATGATTTTACAAGCTCAACCAGAAAACGGTACACGAATCAAATATATACGACAAACCAATTCTTCTCCTCAGCCACGAGTAGAGCTCATCATGGAATCCTCGTAGAGATAGATCGGGAAGATGCAGGGTTGCCACCTACACCTAAGCGTATTGCGAGCAGCACAAATGTCTCCGGTAAACCTAAGTTTTTCTACTCGGATCCGCTATCGCTTCATTCACGAGGTAATTTTGCGGGTTTGCGTTCGAAAATAGAGGGCTTCGTTGGGATTGCAAACTAGCATGCCGAGACGCCCACAAGCAAACCCTGTACACACTTATTCAACTTGGTATATCATATCGGACGTTGGTCGTCAAGTTTTTTTTGTTTTTTTAATAGATGTAGTCATACACTACACGTGGCTCTGTGCGTGGTCAATGTAGTGCTAGTAAATTGAATTGTTTTTAGTACTAGTAGATTTGTTGCTCGGAACTGTCTGAGACTTACCATCGGTATTCTCTTAGGTGCTCCGTCACACAGAGATGCAAAAGTAAGTAATGCAGATCCCGGGCCTTACACCAGCTCGGCACCTGAGCTTCATAATCGACAACTCTGGCAGGTAAGTGGCAACTTCTTTGGTCTCCTTGTGTTATATGTTCTGTGATATCTGTTGATGAATTGTGCTGTTGCTTGAGTGGAGCGAAGCCAGAAGCAAAAACAAACCTGTCGTGCACGGAAAAAACAACAAAAAGTACTGTCCAATACTTTTGTTCTCTTTTATTGCTATCAAACGGTGGGAATTTCTCTCAACAATTTTTATTATGAAAACAACCATTCGAGTATCATCTTGCACTGGACTATCATTGGTCTCCGCTTCTCTCCTATATAAAAGAACGATATTCAGATACAGATAGGTACAACCCTCATCGGCGGTATTTCTTGCAATCTACGGCACCTCCTATTTTTCAACTGGTTCCAGTTTTTTTTCTTCAGTACGCTTATACCCCGATCACAACTGTTGATGGGCATCAACTTTACACCCATACGACCTACAGCGACCGAATGTGGGGAACTTCAACCAAAGTGGTATATATGGGTACTCCAATACGAAGTTTTCTGATCACCTTGCGCCTGTGGGTCATCGCCAACACCGTCTAATGCCAAGTTACACACCACCAGAAAGTCTGAGAGCTTCGTCCATGCATCAACTTGCGAAAGTAAGCTCACATATTTACATGCGTGTTGGGTTTCTTCTGTGATGCACTAGTTGAAACCCCTTCACCGTTGCTTAAGATCTATCATCCATCTTATACATCGGTTACGGCAACTTTGTGCATCACTATGTTGTCCACCACCCTAAAACCTGTAGTCTTGGCGCGAAGTGTTTCGCACTGTTCTTTCCTAGCGTACTATTGCCCTCTCGTTTCCGATCATTGCTTCCCCGCGAATCAATAGTACTATTCTTCAATTAGATGTTGTATCCATCCCTCCGCCAATTCATCACCCGATTCAACTACTTCTTGTTGCACCCTGTCTGTTTCACTATATGACACCCATCATTGATGCTCCGCTAGCCGTTGATGTACTTCCATACTTTCCTAATGCACACTCACACACCGACAGGTGGAGGGCGGAGATGAACAAACGCAGATGCGGACCTTTCATTCGGTGGAGTCAGTGGCGATGATCTCTGAAGAATCGAGTCCCAATCAAAAAGAGGGTCAAATGATTCGCTCCCAGTCCCAACGCTCAACTACCGTATGAATGAATTAGAGTGTTTCTAAGGATAAAATGTATATTTTATGTTTCGTGGCATTGGTATCCATGTAGGTCTGTCGTATACTTAAAAATTGAGCTCATCCTAGTCCAAGTGCAGAGGATAAGAAGCCGTGAAAGATGTAACTGCCCGAATGTCAAATAATATAGAGTACGAACTCTGTTGCACATATTACATATATTTGCTAGTGGTCAATTAGGACTTGATTTTTCAGTAGTTTGAAGACATACTCGAAAACACTTGGTGAACTCTATTAGAGAACCCACCTGAGTTCCGTATATGTCGATATCGTACGGTGAGAAGACCACTCTATATCTATGGCACAATCGGGAAAGCACTGACGTCCACCGGCTCTCAATACACATACCCAACACCATATCTGATCTCGCACCCCCAATCTCTGCTTTAGGTGGCTCATGGAAAACCTCCCTCGGTGGTCAGAACCCAATTCCACTGGTCAACATCGGACACGGTACGAATCAGGAACCTACAATACGAACATGCATAATCTTTACTACCTTTCACCTCGAGATTTCGATTTTGAGTTTGGTTATGGAATTTGTTGGCTCGACTTTGTGAACCCGATGAATTTGGAATTGGAAATAGGGGATTAGAACGATAGGGTGCTTGTAGGTTGGTAATGTAAGCTCCTGTGCATCTTCCTTGTATCATACACAGAGTTGTCAAACTAGACTAACAATAGGTACCACTTCTTATTGCAGAACCGCGACCCTAGCGATAACTCGCCTTCGGATACCAATTTGAGAGCGGAGATATCACAGCGATATGTGACTTCCCAAGCGCATCCCAACAGTAATGTCAGGCGGAACTTTTCGCACAATCAGCGCAACAGTCAATACCGCCAACCACGGCTGGATTCCAAGCAACATAGAAGCAGTCCGCTGCTGTCACCGCCTAAGCATATGCACAGGACAAAGTCGCAACCACACACACAACTTCATCAAAGCTTCAAGCATCATTCGCCGGGTGTCGCACAGTCGCATCCAAGACTTGCCCTCAAAACTGCCTCGAATACGAATTTAACCATGATTCAATCCACACAGCACAGTAGTAGAAGGGTAGAAATTGATAGGTATCAGTCACCGCTAAAGCAACCCAGAATGGAACAAGATGGTTGTATGGCCGAACGAAGTATGCAACAAGCGCCCTTTGAGAGTCCCTCATTGGCCAGGCATGTCAATAGCATAACAAATGCAAGCGGTACGCGCAGCTTGGACGTAGAGCACTTCACGGTCACCAAGAGTTATGAACAAACCCTAAACCCTAAAACCAAGAGTTATGAACCACATGAAGCGAACATAGACGAGGGCGATATAGAGCAAGACTATGATCAGCTACCAGACGTCGATCGGAACAACCAGCCACAGCAAGAGCGTAGGGCTGATGTCCACTGGACTACTCGTCAGCGTTGTCACTCGGAAAGCACTGCAGTAGATATAGAGACGGGCATGACTGAAATGCGGGAGGATACAGATGAGCCAAATATCACTTACTACAGCAAAAGTGCCGACACTAGTATGAATATGGGTGAGCAGCCTCATATAGAGGACCAGATGTACATCACTACTGAAAATACGGATGGGATCAGTAATGCTTTCAGAACTTCGATGCGCACCGGTACAAGCAATGGTACGAATAGGGGCAATGATACCGGCATGGGGATTAGTCGCAGTTTGAGCTCGGATCAGAGATTAAATGCTGATGGTGGTTGTGCTCAGAGCATGCATACCCTGCGCAATATTCGACCGGACAGAGCTGATAGTGATAAATACTCGAAAGGTGAACTGAACTATCCCATGTATGCACAACTTGTGCAAGAGACTGTCACAGAGCACGTGGATGCAAGTGCGGATACCCGAAACGTACCGAACATGAACTCCTATGGCAATGGTAATAGTATACATACAAATGCTCATAGAAATCGGTTTGCGCCCGAAAATGGTTCACCGACGGATCACAGGGCGCATTCACCGACTAGATATCTATCTCATGCAGAGCTCCGAGGCGGGCCCACACATGTGCCGTTGGGGCACGAAACTGAGATTATGGGTACGCCGCGGCAGATGACGAGCTTTTCACACCAGAGTCCCGCAACGGTACAGACTAAGTTGAGGCATGGGGTGTCTACCCCTACATTGGTCCTGTAAGTAACAATGTCGACCGGATATAGTGAAGCCAGAAAATATGTAATTGATAATGTGACTT